CCCTTCAACGAGACGCCCCCTTCAACGAGACGCCCCCTTCAACGAGACCCCCCCTTCAATGAGACGCCCCCTCAAACGAGACGACCCCTCAAACAAGACCCCCCCTTCAAACGAGACGCCCCCTCAAACGAGACGCCCCCTCAAACGAGACGCCTCCTTACACAAAGACGCCTACAGGGATGCGTCCTTTAACAAGACGTCTCTTTAACTCAGATGTTTGCTTCAAAGACATGAACATCTAATGTTTGAGCAGAAAGTCCAGCTGATCCACAGGTGTGGTTCTGTGAGACCAGGCCCGGCCCAGCAGCGTATGGCTTGTGTACAGGTGTGAGGACAAGGCACGGAGCAGGAAGCTGCAGGACAATCAGCTGATTCAGAGAAAAGTTTTAAGGCAGAGAAGAAAAGCAGCTCCTTCCTCCTCCTGTCTCCAGGAGTTAGTCTGCACCGACGGCTGCAGGGCGAGCCGCTCTGAGGAGGAGAGGAGGAGCAGAGGTTAGTGTTCAGGAGGGAGGAGCAGACAGGAAGAGGCGGAGCCACTGATTGGTTAGTGTGAGCAGACAGGAAGTGAGCAGAAACAATCACTTCACCAGGACTGACTTTGGCAGAAACGCCTCCATCTCTCCYTCTCCGTCCACCGTCCTGGACGGCTCCGAGGACGCTGCAGAGGACGCCGAGGAGGAGGCGGGGCTCTGGGTCACCGAGGCGCCGGGCGCCTTCGGGAGGCTGTACATGTAGACGGCGCCGATGACGAGCCCCGCCCCGACGGTGAACAGCAGGTCCACGTGGAAGGCGAACAGGTAGACGGACATGACGGTGGACACCACGATGGAGAAGGAGGTGGCGAAGCCCTTCAGGATGTTGTCGGCGTACTTCACCACCACCGCCACCAGCAGCCCGCCGAACGCCTGGTTGAAGATCACGCACCACACCGTGGCCGTGTAGCCGAACAGGAAGCCGCGCTCGGCCACCGCCGCGCCATCGTTCCACCACAGCCCCAGCAGGCCCAGCGCCGTGCCGAAGATCCCCAGCTGGACGTTCCTCATCCACACCGAGGCCGCGCTGCCCTTCAGGATCTTCTCAAAGTAAACGCCGGCGAAGCCCGAAGACAGGCAGCTGATGACCACCGCCACCAGGCCCGCCGTGTAGTTCTGCTGGGAGGAGTCAGACACCGACGCCTCTTTGTTCCCTTCCTGCTGCACCTGCAGGGACACAGTGAGGTCTGTCACAGCCACCAGAACCAGAACCAGAACCAGAGTCTGAGGAAGTCCTGGTCTGCTTCCAGTGGTCTGTGTGTGTTAGCAAAATATCTTAGGACTCAATGAAGCTCTCAGGTATTTCTCTGCACCTCGTTAACTTTCAGAAAACACCAACCAAGATGGCCGCCACAGCCAGCTGACCCCAGGAAACATGAAAACTCATCCACAGCTAAACACAGCTAAAGTTCAGTGTGGTAGCAGCTGAAGGTCATAGCTAAACACAGCTAAAGTTCAGTGTGGTAGCAGCTGAAGGTCATAGCTAAACACAGCTAAAGTTCAGTGTGGTAGCAGCTGAAGGTCATAGTTAAACACAACTAAAGTTTTCATAATAAAAACATTTTTAGCTACAGTGAAACAGGAACATGTTTTTGGTCTTTTGACTCCCCTCATGTGGAACCTGCAGAACCTGCAGAACCTGCAGGACCTGCAGAACCTGCAGAACCTGCAGAACCTGCAGAACCATCTGAACCGACCCGCCTCTGAAATATTTCTGAACTTTGAAGTTTCTGCAGGTTCAACTTGAAAAACTGCACCTTTAAACCAACAGCTGGTTAGTGTGCTGCAGGGGGCGGGGCCTACCTGGACCACAGCCACGCCGGTGAACAGCAGCAGCAGGGAGACCCACTGGACCCGGGTCAGGGACTTCCTGAGCATCAGCACGCTGAACAGAGCCGTGGTGAGGATCTTCAGCTGGTAGGTGACCTGGAAGGTGGCGGCGGGCAGGTTGGAGATGGCGATGTACTGCAGGTTGTTCTGCAGCGTGTAGATGAGCGCCGGCACCGCCAGCTTCAGGGTGTCTCTGTACTGCAGGACCACRGAGTCGAACAGGAAGTGGGCCGTTTCCATCAGGCTGACTGCAGACAAACAGAGTCAGAACACGGCGCCGGGCCGGAGCGCGGGTCGGCTCAGGTAAACGGACTCACATCTCTTCTGCAGCAGGATGATGAGCAGACACGTCAGSACCTTCAGAACCTCGGCCATCACCACCGCCGACGTGGCGAAGAAGCGGTCGCCCGGCAGCGTGCGCACGTAGCGGATGCTGAGGATGAGCGAGGCGTTCTGGACCACCAGCACGGCCAGGCTGATGTACTTCAACTTCCTGTTGGCTGCACAAACAACTCATCAGAACCAGGAGACAAACATGGGATCCAGYAATCTGGACTGAGCTGACCCGAGATCCGGGTCAGACTCTGAACCTTGAACACCGGTTCTGATGGAACTCAACCTGATTCAAGATGGCTGCCACAGCTAGTGGACGTTAGCCAACACTTCTACAGATGCTAAGTGAACACCTAGCCTGGCAGTAGCTGAGAGTCGTCCTCCCTCAGACTCTGAGGTCTCAGAGCAGCAGGTGACAAAGAACAGTTCAGCTAATCCGCCAAGAGCGGAACTAGCTTCTGATTTAGCGCATTAGCTTTTTACTTAGCTAACTTTGRAAACCGTTAGCAGAACGATTAGCTTCAGTTAACAGTAGTTTTAAGTGTAAAACTGCTGTTTATCCCAAATTAAAGCAGTGCTGAAACCCTGTGTGTTAGCATGTAGCATCTTTAGCAGCTAAACTTCAAACTAAGAGCATCAAAAAGAAACAAATAACATTTATTATTAAACACTGACGATGTTAAWATATGGCAGAGAAATTATTCACTGTTTGACTCACTTCAAATGGTATCCATAAAAATARATGCTTAATCAAACAAATGCTTTYATTCTGAAAGGGTTAAACAGGAAGTATTAATGTAGATGAAGCTATAACTAGTTTGGATTGGCCAATTTGCCACAGATCCCGCCCACCTTCAAATTAAACCAATAGAAAATGAACAAGAGGTTTGTGTCAGTCCCACCAGTCACAGTCATCTTAGCAATTAGCATTAGCTTCTATTCTGTAAATCTGTTTAGCGGTTAGCATTAGCTTCCACTATTTTTTTAAAATTTATTTAGCGTTAGCGTTAGCTTCCACTATTTTGAATCTGTTTAGCAATTAGCATTAGCTACCTCAGAAATTATTATTTCCACCAACATCTGATCTCTGAATGAAAACCCTTCAAACATCTGTCTACAGCTGGTCCAGGTGGGTCTGAAGCTGGTCCAGGTGGGTCTGAAGCTGGACCAGGTGGGTCTGAAGCTGGTCCAGGTGGGTCTGAGGCTTCAGTTCTCATGAAACACAATCAGTTTAAAACAATCATCTGTTTATCTGCAGCTTTTTTCTGAGATAAAGATTTGCTTATTTCAGATATTTTAAAATAAAACATTTGTTTTGAGACAATTCTTAAACTTTACGGTTACTTCCTGATGCTCTGACCACAGCTGACACAATTATTAATAATTAAAAGATTCATGAGACTATAGCCAACCTCCTAAGATGTGGACGCAAGAGGAAATGCGACCCCATGCTGACCGATAGATGGTAAAATATAAGATCCAAACRGTCCGAGTTGTGTGTACTTGTACTTGTACTTGTACACTTGTATTTGTTGCCTTTTAGTACCATTTCTGGTAAACACACCTACTTTGTCAGACCAGTAGTCCTTATGGGGACCAAAGACCGGTCTAACATGGTMGGGGTTCAGTTTAAGGTGTCAGGTTCAGAAATGACTGGAGGTCAATGAACGGTCCCAGTAAGGATAGAAATKCAAACYCGTGTGTGTTGCCACCTCCACCACACCTGAAGAAGATCCACGTCATCAGCAGCAACACCTGATCATTCCACCTTAACCCGGACTTATTCCGCCTTAAATCCGGCGTGCTGGGTTCGGTTCTGGGTCCGGCAGCTCGTTAACTAGCAGCGGTGGGTCGGTTAGCAGCACCACAGCTAGTTAAAGTTCTATTAGCCCCGCAGAACTTCAATTCCAAAAGTTTGAATTTTATTTTCAAACCTTCTTAAATTAATTAAATGTTTAAATATGTGTGAGATTTTTTTAATTAACCAGTAAAGTTACTAATTAACTTTTCGGCTGAACTTTTAACCAATCCTGACCTGGTTAAGTCGTGTCAGGTGTGTTAGTTAGCTGCTAGTTAGCCTGGTCCTGTCTGCGTGTAGCCGTTAAGCTAGCTGTTAGGAATTTTAAACAAATGTAAGTTCCGGTTCGGAACCAGCTCACCATCACTGTGAGTCCGGTTCGGAGTCTTCTCCTCCACCGTCTTGTTGAGGCTGCCTGCGGCCATGCTGAGCTGGCTCCCTCAGTCCGTCCGGACCGAACCTTCCTCACCCCGCTGCCCGAGCGCCGAACCAGCTAAACCCAGCTCACGGTTCCGATCCAGCTCCCAAACCCCGAACCTCGACCCGATGTTCTGCRTGAAGCGGGAGGATCAGCGCTGTGGACCGAGGAGGAAGGATCCGGAGGAGCCGCCGGGACCATCGGGATGAGACCCAGTGAGGAGGAGCGGAGGTGTCCCGGAAGTGAAGAAAACTAGAAACAAAGATGGGCTTGTTCAAGACYAGGGCTGCCTCTGTCGAACAATTACACACACCAGTGATGTTTCTGCTACACAACAATCTGTTATAAATGAATTAAAGTTCAAATAAAACACAACGATTTTATAAAACAAGAAAAGTCTAAACACACACATAAGAAATGTTAGGAAAGATGTAGAATCACAAAATAAACACGTTAAATTCAGATTATGGAGGTCATTAAAAAATTGTTTTCAATTCAAGTCAAAATTCATAAAATACTTTATTGATCCCAGAGGGAAATTAGGTGACGTTTATTGAACATTTAAAATAATATTCTGACGATACTATTCTCAAACATTTAATTTGCAAATAAGAAAATATATTTTTAAATATTTAATTTTGAATTCGTTCTTTATTTATTTGGGGGTGCATTTTGAATATTTCACCCCAGGTTTGTGCAAAACTAGATGTTTTCAGACTTTATAACCGAGTGGATCAGATGAAAACATGACGATCTGTTTGGTCCAAATGATTTTTTAAAGTTATCTTTTTAAAACGTTTTTAAACGGAATTTCAATGACCAGAGTGAGACCTCTTGTTAAGAAGAAACGATCTTTTCCTGGTTCTGTCAGAGATCCTATTGGCTGCTGGGAGGAACAGGTGACAGGTGTGCCTACTGGCCAATCAACAGATCAGAACACAAAAATATTCAGAAAAACAAAACAAACTAAAATAAATAAATAATTAAAAATAGAAAAAAATTTTCTCCTTGCTGAAGAGTTCCTTCATTCTTTTGCTTAATTTTTTGAATATAAAAAAGTTTTAAAGTTTTACATCTGTCAATTTGATATTTTTTTACATTAATTTTATTCTTTTAAAATAAATAAAACTTCTGAATTAATCCTGATTTTCCTGCTCTACATTTACAAACATTATGTTAAATATAAACTTTATTATAATCTTACAGACTGAGTTCATTTATTCATCTTAGATTCATTGTATTGTTAAAACATCAGTTTTATTTATTAAATTAAATCAAAATCAACACTCTGAGGAATAAATATTCATCTGATTTTCACTTTTTTATATAATCTGTTTCTGTCAGCAGCAGAAAGTAAGAGGAATGAAAAACGAGTCAGAGTGAGACCTCCTGAAGACAAAAACACAGGTTTTTATTCAAACAGAGGATCTTTGTGTTTCTGATCCAATCATTTATATTTAATGTAAATAAACAGAACCAAGTGACCCAGGGGCCACTTTGAGTGTAGAATACAGGTCCACGACCCAGGTAACAACCAGGGTCCTGACCCGATCAGAACCTGACCCGATCAGAACCTGACCCGATCAGAACCTGACGGAGCCACAGATCTGAGGTCCGAGTGAAGAACGTAGAACTTAGAACGTCAAACATCTTCAGTTTTTTACTGGGGGTCAAAGGTCACCTGAACCAGTGTAAACAGTCCAACCAGGAGGAGGCGGAGCCTCAGCTGCAGGGGGCGGAGCCTCAGCAGCAGAACCTGATCAGAAACTAATAAATAATGAATAAATACGGAGCCGGCAGCAGACTTTAGTTCTGGTTCTGACTCAGTTCAGGTCCTCACAGGGACACGCTGGGCAGAGAGCTGGACTCCTCCTCTTCCTCCTCCTCTTCCTCACCTCCCTCCATCCAGGGGTGAGACAGGATGTCCTCCAGCGAGGGGCGGGCCTCCGGCCGGTACGACAGACACCAGCGAATCAGAGCTTGACAATCTGTGAGGGGGCGGAGACATGGGGGTCAGCAACGTCACAAGTCTTAACCAATCAGGTTTCAGTGGGGGCGGAGCCTGTGCTGACCTTTAGAGACGCGCCTGGTGAAGAGGGGCGTGGCCTGGATGATGTCCTGGTCGCGTTCGAACGGGATGTCTCCGCAGACCATGTCGAAGAGCAGGACCCCCAGAGACCAGACGCTGAGCGGGACSGCGTGGTAGGACCGGCTCTGGACCCACTCAGGTGGACTGTAGACCCGCGTACCTGCAGAGGAGGCGGAGCCAGGGTTAGACCACCACTCCCCTTCCTTCATCATCATCATCCTCATCATCATCACAGGCTGACCTTCAAACTCGTTATACGCTGAGTCCTTCAGCGGCGCTCCGGACCCGAAGTCGATGACCTTGACCTCCAGCGTCCTGGTGTCCACCACGATGTTCTCGTCTTTAATGTCTCTGTGCACGACGCCGTGCGCGTGGACGAACCGCAGCGCCTCCACGATCTGCCGGAAGAACCTGCAGGAAGGGGCGGAGCAAAGACAGGGAGTTAACACAGAGAAAACTGAAGGGGGCGGAGCTAAGACAGGGAGTTAACACAGAGCAGACTGAAGGGGGCGGAGCTAAGACAGGG